AAACGAAACACTACGGCACCGTAGCCACCGAATAAGTCGATGAGACAAGCGAGGGTACTGCCTGCAGCCTATCCAAACGCAGGTACATGCAACCATACGCACACGCACAAACACACACAAAGAAACTTTTGGGTTTGTGTCAGTGTAGGTTAACTTGAACCCTAATGCGGTACGTGGTCGTGTTCGTCTCAATCTTCTACAGGGGCTTTGATGATAGGAGACAGCTTGCAAGACGCGATCACGAACAAGATAATATAACCCAAAAATGAACTAGGTTATTTACCCGCTCCATGTCTTGAGCCTAGCTGGGTTTACAAGAGGCATAAACATGTTTTGATCTCCCTTATTTTACACGGGGAGATACCAAAACCCATCCGTCATTCTCAACTGGCGCCAGCCGGTATGGGGTTCTGTGTTGGTTCTATATTGTTTCAGTGGTATAAGCTGTTGGTCCAACATGCAGTCTCAAGCTATAGGTCACCGTCGGCTCTCTTGGTTCTCTGCATATTTTTGACAAATACCAAGCTCATACTATGTATCTAGTATGCATATTGGCGCCTGAGCGCAACCAACACTGGCTTCAATTGTAATATTTTCGTCTCCCAGCCCACATCACGAACCATTCATTTATTGCCGCATATGCATCCCTCATCCTCGCGCTTACGTGCAGACCTCCCTTTTCATACAGTATGGCTTTATCAAGTATACAGTCGGTATTACTTGCAGATCGCGTCTAACAACCAATATTATAACCTCTCAACCGCCCTTTACGCGCTTGCCAACGGTTCAGCACCAATAAATCAGCACCAAGAAACGCAAGACGCACAATATGCAGTCGCATGCAGATATGCAGCCATCATGTATTGCTCACGGCGCTTACAAAAGGGGCTTCTGCACTGTTTACATACCGTATTTGGTATTTTAGCGTCAAGTGCGTGTAACCGAAGGTCTAGAGCATTTGCTTGTTGTGATTTGCTTGTCTGAGACCTTGCAGCCGCCGTCGCGGTTGTGGCCGAGTGGTTGAATCGATAGCGTTGAGGCTATTGAATGAACCCAATTATTTTCATAATTAGAGGAGAATATTTAATTACAAGGGTCAATTATGCTTTGGGCCGTTGAGATGGTGAAATTACTACATTGTCTCCTCAGATCTCTTACAGGGTCAGCTGCGGCACATCCAAGTCAATCCACCTACCCTGCATCAGAAGAGCTCTGAGTCTGGGATGTGTCACGACTTCAGTGCAAACTTTTATCGGGAGTCTTATTGAGTTCAAATTACTGATTCTCTTTCGACGCTGTGACATTCTCTGCTTCGCATTGCTCGTACACCGGCGAGTTTCAGTACATAGTTTTGTCGTAAATGCGCCAGACATATGCAAGTTCCATGTCCCTAGTAAACTCTGTATAAATTGACACGGAGCCTCACTCGGTAAGTCGGAGGGACACGCTCTCACTAGCCAAACTTTGGTAGACTGGTACTTGAATCAAACGAAGCGGATACCGGCAGTTGGGTAGAGTTTATACCAGATCGTCGGGAATGTCTTACTCCGTCGATGTGAATGAGATGAGTTTCAGCTGGGCTTACCGAGGCTGAGTTCGTGGAAGGTTGAAAGGCTAGCAAGACCACTTGGAGAAGATACGTCAAACGCCATTGGATGATCGCGTTGGATAATTCTGAGTCCCGAGAATGTCATGACTGTTGTTCTGTATTGTCATGAACTTATACCCGGCTATGGCCTGTGTGGACTGAGTGTTGATGAGCTTCGACTATCACCTCACCCACGGCGCGAGTCAGAATACCGCTATACAGTCGTCCGGTAATTCGTTACTATCACTACCACCGCCTAGACATGCGAACAAGAACCGTGATTGTCCTCTTGAGATTGTGATAGACTCTGCAAGGAACCCTGTGATGTACAAACCCAAAGACCAGATAGGCGACAATGGAATTTGAACAACATTGTGGTATTGAGTTCATACGAGACTAAAGATCACAAAAGACAAGTATTCCGGTGGAAATTGGACTGTGCCACGGGTGAATAGGAACTCAGCTCAGGTTGGCTATTGAAGTCACCGAGACTAAGCATGTACCCTATATCTATCGTGAGGCCCCAACTGCCCATTCTTTGAAGCGGAATCAGTACAACATAGTCTCAAATCGCCACCGGATGTCCTGGATCTCCGTTCGAGATTCTGCAAAGTATGTCCCGGAGCCTTGTTAACTTGGGCCTCGGCCGTTCCAACGACTTCCAATAACGTTGCTTGAGGAAGATCATAAAGAGTGTCAGAATGCACCAACAATACCACCATTCGAATGGAAAACTTGGGGAAAATGGTAAAAGAAAAGGTTGAGACGGGTTTTGCTATTTGTGAATCTGAGAACTCAACCCTGCAAGAGGACTTCAGACTGGATCAGTGATTACAGAATTTATAAGGAAGGACGCACAGCTATCAACGAGAGCTTCACTTGGTGAGTGGGATAGTTGACCAAGGGGCTGCCTACAAAGGCCAACATACTCATAATGGCTACCCATAAGCTTCACGATCGTGTTGCTTTGCTGCGCTTGAAGAGACAAGTCCAGCACTTTCATATTAGTCGGGTCAGAAATATCTCATGTATCCGTAGCGAGGTAGTTGGTCCAAGAGAACAAAGTAACGTAAAGCCTATGCTTACGTACCATCTAGCACAATTTCAATGTGGGATAATAGCCAGCATCAAACTGGCATAATAGACGGACACAGTCCTTGTTATTCCAAGGATTACCATAGAATGCGAACCACGTGATGGCTAAAGTTCCCTTTCACACAGAGTTTGTACCTGTACATGCAGTACTTACTTCGTAGTTAGAATGTAATGACCTTGTCTAGTCACCTCATACTGGTTCGCTTGCTCTTAGATAGCCAACCCCCAGTTCAGCCCTAGGCCGCCGCCAAGCGTGACTAGAACCTTGGCGAGATCGACCTTGACCATTTCAAGTTCCATCTTGAACTGGACGATAAACAAGTAACCATCCCTTCCTCACCTAGCATCACACTCTTCAACGATGACGACAAGCCTACGAATGGACTTGATGGGGACTGTACTAGGAACAAGATACTGAGTCCCCGATTCGTTGTTCCTGCCCATCACCACGTGGCTTGCTATCGAGGTCCCAACCAAGTCGTACCATGAACTCCGTGTCAACTCGGACCGAACGTTGGGTCGCCGGAGAGAAATGTATCCTGGAACCTCAAAGATATGTACTGCAACGCACACTAAACAAATACACAAGCTGCAATGCGTCTCAACCAATAAGGTCCTCTCACAAAACAGGGGAAAGGAACACAAAGTGGCCCTATGTAATGTATACAAGCTGCAAGCTGTCAGTGACACCACAACCACGCTCGACATCTCACGACGTTCTCCAATGACATTTGCCTCTTCGAATCTGCAAGCACCTAAAGCATACGCGCTAGAAGCATCCAAAAGGGGCAGCATCTTTCGACCGTCCGAGCCGTCCACTTACAAAGCCAGGCCGAATCTGCGGCCACATCAAAAGAGTGTTTCAATATCCCAGGTCCTATAGCATATGCAGATGCACCAAACACGTCATGCGGACATGGTACAAAAGTCCCACAGCCGGGCTTTGTTATAAATCTTTCTATCCTAGACCAAGCGTATCTCTCCCCACAAAAGCCATCAGCAAGGGGGTCAGATAGTCTGTTCTTGTTTCTGACAGATGTTTCTGACGGAACTAGCTAACTCCGCAGACTAGGACTTCGATTCAGTTTGGTCGTATCCCGTACCTAGTTCCCACTCCATGTGACAACTCAATCTCTCAATATCAGCCCTATAAACCCCCTCCCCCCTTCTCACGAGCACATGTCCTCATTCCCCGTGATCACCCGCTCGCCGCACACGACCTTGGAGGTAATTTCCTCTCATCTGACGTGAGATCTCTAACTTCTTCCCAGCCGTCTTTATACTATCCTTACCCAAGCAGAAGGAACCCACCCCTATTCACTCAAGAGCTTACCGTGCCGGAGCATCATAGGCCAAGAGAACTCGGCACACATCGCCGATCATGGACGCAAGGTAAGCTTAGGGGCGGGCGGGTAAATCACCTGAATTCGGTGAAAGGTGTATAAGTCGTTGGTTTGATCTTCGGTCCTAGACCTGCATAGGCTGCATGACGCGCGAGTCTTCCCCTCCAGCACCAGGCTTTGCAACGGCTCTTGGTCTTTGGTGATCTTCTAGGTTGTTTCTACATTTGGTGATCCATTCGGGCATCGGGTAACTTCTCTGGGATACGTCCGAGGCTTAGTCCTACGATAAGCACTTGCAAGGTATGGACTTTGGCAGACTCCTCTGTGAGGCTGACGAGAGCTTCATGGTACAAATCCCGTGTTATGCCCTCGAGGCTGCTTACTTTTACAAGGACTCGAGGACGTGTTCGAATGGCGACCCGAGCAGTCCGAGTCAAAGTCTCCGTCAGTTATGGGGCCTTGTTGAGGGCATTCGCGAGTGGCTTTGGGTATAAGATCAATGTGGGGCTTTGCATCGTGCAGAGGCAGCAAGAATAAGATATTGTTGTTGAAAGAAAACAGGTCATTATATCATCGTGAGCCAAGATCTAAACCTCGACATAAAAAACTTTATGAAATACATCTTCAGTTCCATGCGCCCTTAGCCTAATAGCCAATAAAGTAGATGAGTACCTTAAGGGGTATATTATACTGAGTAGTGCAAAACAGGAATCCAACCCAAATCCAAAACCGAAAACAAGTGAGACAATGCGTCGCTTCAAAACAGCGGCGCAGGCCGCGAGTCATTGAAGTAAGACATGAGAAAAGAAAATTTTTGCCCAGAAGCGCAGTTGTTGCACCACGTCCACCTCTAACATAAGTCGTAAACGGTCGTTACACATGGGCCCCTATACCAGACCAAAAGTGCCAATCACGTTTGGTCGGAAAAGTCAACTGACAGTAGTACACATGGTCGTTACGAAACTGTCAACCCGTCATCGCATCTCCTCAGGCCGGACTGTTGCCCCGTAGAAACCGCCCCCGTGATTGCCACCGGAGGCCGCACATGCAAGGCAGACCCCGCCGCCATAGACACGCGTATGCCTTGTCCACCCGGCGCCTTCGGAGTCGAGAACACCAATGATCTCGCCCTGGACGCCGATCTCCACGGTTCCTGCGTTGGGTGGGGCCGGTGGAAGCAATGGGCTTGCAGGTGGGTAGGAACTGGGCGAAAAAACCAGATCGGCAGCATCCGACATCCCTTGGGATAACTGAGACACGGGAACTCCGATAGGAAGAGTCTTGTTGTAAGAGCGCCGGCGGGTGACCGATGTTGATGCTGAGTTGTCAGGCAGAACAGTGTTGGCTGTCGACGACATGTAATCAGGGTTAGGCTGACGGATAAAACTATCCTCGCCTGGTCGTGGGCGGTCATCAAAAGTGAATACGGCAGTGCTCAGCTCAGGAGGCGTCAGAGGTGGTGCAGGAGGTGGTCGCGACATGACATGTCTGGACATGAGATTGTCTGTATTTTGCCAGTTGGGGTCGATGACCAGTTTCTTGTTTGTTCGATCCTCAGGGGCCAGATCCTCCTGGTTAGCAGGCGGCGTCATAGTCTTCTCATTCATAGCCCAATAGGGTTGCGACTGAAGCCGTCGAGTATGCGACAACGATGAGATGGGTAGGGTTTGCTGATCCAAGCCGCGCATCTGTCGCAACCATAGGCAGAGTCGCAAAACGCAAAAGCGTGCAATGACAGCAACAGCAAAGATTGCGAGGCCAGCTTGAAGAGTCTGAAAGGAGGAAGACGACCTGTTCAAGTAGTTGCTGTGAGTTGACGTTGAGGTGGTGGTGTCAGGTGTAAGTTGTGTTACACCTCGATTAGTTACGGGCATGGTGCGTCGTTTATGTCAGTGATTGATTGATATATTCGCGGAAACTTAATTTTGGCGCCGTCGGTCACTTGGCGGGGCCAAAGGTCACTCTACTTTCTGCGGTCAGACGGTGACTTTCTGGGGGTATGCTTGCCCGTTGCGTTGACAATCCTCGTCTGGGTTGGTTGGGCGGAGTCGACTCTGTAGACAAGAAGGCTGGGCTGGGCTGAATAGACAGGGTTGTTGGTGGTCTTGAGTCCGGTCGATCCAAGGCTATGCTTCAAACACCCGCGGTTAAGGGCGCTTCGTCAGAAAGAGAAAACGAGTTTTGTTTGGAGAAAAGCAGCGCCTGAGTAAGCCTGTGTGTCTCCAGACTTTGGTAGTGGCTTGTATCAGATAGATTGTCTGGTTGATGACTCGATCACGAAGTAACTTCCGTCGCAAATCTCAACACTCAGAATGCTAGAGCTGATTATGTCAACATATACTAGGGGATCGCCTTCGGATTATTTCCCAGCAATGTAAATATAGTAGGTGGCCTCTTGGTCGTCTTTGGATCACCGAAGTGATGCTCGAGTTGTGATTGAATAGACAGGGCGCGGTGTAAAGCCTGTCATATGAGATGCATATAAAACAACTCAAAGGATCAAAGTGCAGAAGCAATACCGGCTATTTGTGTAAGGTTACGTAGCTGGGGGTACTGAGTCTTATATGATGGTTGTTCATGAACTGATGGAAACTCTCGAGCAAGGTCAATGTAGCAAGCCAAGTCATGAGCATCACTTGATGAATGCCAAAGGATAGAACGACACCCATCTTTGAACACCCCTGCTCTTCAAGGGTCTGGGCTAGGAAGATGGAGTAAATGAACATGGATTCTCTTTGCAAAGGAGCGGAAAGAAATGCTTCAGACAGCCTCTTTCAAAGGGGCTACTAATCGAGACTAGCTGTGGCTTCGGTCCCGGGACGTGGGTACAACGTTTGGCTTGTAGGGGTGGCTTTGACAAGTGGAGTATTGATTTCTGGAGGTGTTGGAAGGATTTGAAAACGACCGAGTAAGTGTGGCTCTGCTTAAGGTTGCCCGAGTTCTAAGAAGCTGTCACTGAAGACTTCGACAAGAGCTGCCAGTGGGACGAGCCTTTTGTCGATCGCTCCTTGCGACATTTTTGGCATGATCTCATGTGTATTTCAGAAAGGACCGGGGTTTTCATGATGAAACATTAATCGGGGGCAGGGAATGAGATCCTAGAAGCAAGCGTGAGATTGCAATTTTATCGCAAGCTGAGCCGGGCTGGATCGTGTCAATCAAAGTTGATCAAGGAAACTCGATGAACCGCGTGCTCCAAAAAGTCTCCAACCATCAACAGCTGGCTATGGGGTCGTCGAATAAAGCCAGGGCAAATTGGTCGATGGGTCGTACTGGACCCCGAGGGCGTGTTGTAAGAGTCGTTTCCTGCAGTCTGCAGTCTGCACAAGATTGGCATCCCTGTTTTCAGCCCGAGATTTCCAACGAAGGCGTCAGAGGCACAAAAGTCGCTTGGCCAAGCCGGGCGTCCCTGGGTCATGATGCCCCACGATCGCACTGCAATCTGCTTCGAGCCCCCAGGGCCCAAGCCCTGTAGATTAGTTGACTGACCAAACCCAAATCTGACCAGTTTGGCGAGGGAGTGACGCCAGAAGATGGGCTAAATTGAGCATTTCAGCTGAGGTGAGCCCTACTTGTAGCGACGCCATGGGCTAGAGGGCTAGAGACAGACCCCTGCGGCGAGCTTGTTCCAGGCCAGGGGTGTATCTTAGCGGCTATTGGTCGAGCTAGATGGGACGATGTCAAGCCTTTGGCCTTTTGGGCAAGACAAGGCTACGTTAGTGGCATGGGAATCGGGCAAGTCTCAAGCCTCTGTAGAGAAGGAATCCCTACTCAATCTATCGAACCGTTTTCGAACGATCTAAGGCGGCGACAATTGGCTTGGTCCGACACGTATTGGCGCACGAGATCGACGAAAGTGTCCACAACGTGATAGGGCTTCTCAAGACGCTTTGCGAATCTGAATCATTAGGCTGAGCGGTGTGGTACATTTTTTCAATACTGGCGTAATGGGTTACGGCGCTGATTATGTCCCTGCATGAGGTGCTTCCAATGTAACCTTGAACGAGCGATATCCGTAGAATAGTAGTAACGGTCGTGGTCATAAAAGTTTATTATGAATTCTTTTGCTTCATGGGCATTCTCCCTGTCGGTATAGGGCGCCTGACGAAACTGAATCGGTCTCTCCCCGAGGAGAGACAAGCAAGCCCGCCTCCGCGAACTGTACTCGATACTCCAGCAGCCAAGCCCAGTGGAAGTCATCATAGGAGCATCAATGGCGGGGCTACCGGTATTGCCATTATTCGACTGCCTATGCATTCGGTAGAAAAGGTGTAAGTGATATTGCATGTGGAGCTAACCACGATAGTTGCCATGAACTTTTGTTGGGCTGGAAGAGTCTATGCAACTCGAATTCCTTTTGACTGGTGAAGCGCCTCATCATGGGTTTCTGCGTCATTTCGGGTGTTGCTTTGTAGGCCGAAAGGGTCTCGTATTGTGGAATCTGCTAGTTTGATAGGTTTCTTGGTTCAAGCATGCCTGTGCTGAATGGTGATGATTAATGAGCATTTCTCCCCGATTTGATGCATCAAAAGACGTGTCGCGTGGCTGTATACCACCCATGCCACGCGGAGATCGATGCCTGCCGCTGTACAAGACACGGCACGACGCGGGACAGCATGTCATTGCAGCTGGAAGTGCTTGCTTCCGAACTAGGAGGTTGAGTTTTGGTCAATGCATCCATCCATCGATGGAGATCCCCGTCCTCCCGATATCGTCGCCCTTGGGCTGTGGTGGATGCTCTGGTGTTGGGGATCGTCCAGTGTAGTCTCGATTGTGACACTGAAAAGAACAGTCTCAGCTGAAACGATGAAATCACGACACGTGATTGGATACAAGAATGGAAGGAATGGGGCCGCCTTCCCTTGTTTGGCGCCGGGCTTGCAAGGGGCGCCTGAAACTTGACGTTCACACCCAACCACGGAAGGAAGGAGACGCTCACATCCAACACCCAATGGTTGCCGCTTAGATCTTGCTTTATCGAAAACCTCAACCAAGGACGTGACTCGGTTCGTCAATGTATTGCATGATGCATGATGCATGCTGCATCCGTACTGTACTATCATGACAAGGATTCGCAATTATGATATCGCCGCGCATTATTGCCAAGCGTCACATTGCATTGCAACGCGACGGTTGGCCGTGCCCGTCTCTGAATACCCTCTCTTAACTTGGCTAGGTTCTATCATTCAGTCGGAGCAGTTCGAACCAAGTTTGATTACCTATTTCCATTACCGAACGGGCCATCGCGTACTAGTTCATGGTATCTAACAAGCCACACAGACGCATGGTTCAGGTTGACCGTCAATATAACATTGTCTACAACAATTCATCAGTCTCGGCCAAGCCAATGTCTCTCTTTTTCCCTGCTGGCGCTTTAGGCCTTCTCCAGCGTTTCGGTAGCCAATCACAGACCCAGGATCGGCGACGGCGGTAACCTTGCCCAGCTGGACTCATTGTCAATACGATGGGGTCTGGGCTTCTGTCAAGGGCTATGGAAGTGAACTGTCAGTTGCCATCAAAGAGAGTCGCGGGTAAATCGCTAATAATCAATTTTTACTCAGGTTCTCTTTACCCTCCGCAGAAACTCGGATTCATCAGCTTCCTGCCGAGTCAGTCGTGACTACGACATGAACCCACCCCAGGGTCAACCGATACCCTATTGCCTTCTAGAAGCCACATTAGGGCGTCTCGTCGCATTGAGATGCGGCTGCGCCGCATGCAACGCAATCTCTTTCGCTACCAGAGCTCAGGCCGAATAAAAATGGTTCACCTTGAGGCCAGTGGAAATACGAGGGGAACCCCGTCTTTACAATCATCAATAAGACAACCCCGCGCGTTCCGAGAGCCCCTTTCAATCAAAGAGTTGCATGCAATCCTACTCTAAAAGGGTTTTCAGCCGTGATAGGATTCGTTTCCTACATCATCATCATGCTTGCTTGGCCATAGTGCACATCAAGCAACGATCTTCAGATACGCATCAGTAGCGTTTTCATTGGGCTGTCTGGGGTGGTGGCCGACATTTCTAACGTTCTTATGATGATGACAAGACAAGGATGTAATGCGAGTCCCATGCTTTCTCTCCATGTGGGTGGCTGTCTTGCGCTCTTGCAGTATGGTTGTGGCTGTCTTACTGGCTGTGGATGCAACATACGCCGCATCTCAACACAACGTCGATTTTCGCAAAGTGTAACAGTTAGTCTTCCTCTCATACAACCCTGGTCTCGGCAAGTACCTCTAGCAGAAATATCGACCGCTCTGCAACTTTATCAGGCGGAATCCTTTCCTCCGTGGATCCACGCCGACATTCTGACACGGGGATGCAAACTCCGCCATTTTGTCCTGGCCTGGCTCTGGGACTAACAAGAGCTCCTAACCACTCTTGGTCAGTGTTCAAAAATAGCTCCTTGTTCAGCCTTACGAGCCAGTCCCCACCACCTTGGTCATTATCCTTGTCAATGTCACATTCAACTCTAGTCAATCCTCACCAACCCTGCAAAACAAACAACTACTGGCGGAGAACCTCCTACGGATATGGAAAGCTCCTTCAAATCATATCAAGATCACAGATATATACCTTGTCTAGGACTTTCTCCCTATTTTCTTTCGAACCAATGCTTTATGCGCACAGGGTATAACACCTGTCTTATTCCACTTCTTGGCCTTGAGTCATCCATCGTCATCGCTCAAATTGCCTATTTGAGAGTTGACAAAACGTTGCCTTCAGCCTCGTGTTTCGACGTGGGCCTTGCTGACAAGGAAATGACTTACACAAGTCTGACTGGCGCAGCACAACAAAAACACCCAGGGAGAACAAGCTCGGCGCAATTCGACAGCAACGGATTGCTCGGCCTCATTGATTGCGCAAGATACGCGA